TGATTTTTTTTTCCCAAATAATGAATTTTCATCCCAAAAACTTAAATATTTTCCTTTTTCAAACACAAGGATACTGTAATCATTTACTACTGTGTATTATATATCTACTCTGTTCCACTGATCTCCCTTTCTATTTCTTAGTGAGTACCAAATAGTTTTGATAATTACTGCCTTATGATTTATATCATAGTTTATGATGTGGTACTGCTAAAGCTTCCTTTCTTTGAATTTTTTTTTCATTAGTTTCTTTGAAATTCTTGACCTTTTCTTATTATTTTCTCTAACTCATTAAAATAATTTTTTGGTAATTTAATTGCGATGGCATTGAGTAAATGAGTAAAATTGTCAATTTTATTAGATTTGCTTTGTCCACCCATGAATAATTAATATTTCTCCAATTATTTAAATCTGTTTTTATTTGTATAAACAGCATCTTAAAATTATGTTTATGTTGGGTCTGTTTTTGCAAGTGTACTCCCACGTATTTTATACTGTGTACAGTTATTTTAAATGAGATATCTGTTACTATCTCTTGCAGAGTTTTATTGATGATATATAAAAATGCCAGTGGTTTCTGTGGGTTTATTTTATATCCTGCTACTTTGCTAAAATTATTGTTTCAACTAACTTTTTAGTTAAATCTTTAAGATTTCCCAAATATCGTCATATTGTCTGCAAGAAGAGATAGTTTATTACTTCTTTTCCCATTCTTATTCCTTCCATTTCTTTTTCTTTTATTGATGTTGTTAGCATTTCTAAAACAATATTGAATAATATTGGTGACACATAATGTAGTTTCTGTTTCTCTTTCTGTTTTTGCTTTAATTTTGAGATCATGATTTGCTACCCCTGCTTTTATATTTTATATATGTATGTATGTATGTGTGTACATATGTAAGCTGAAGCATAATCAATTCTACTCCAGTCTTTTATTTTAACTCTCACTGTATCTCTCATTTTTAATTGTGTTTCTTGTAAACAACATATTGTCAGATTCTGATTTTTAATATATTCTGCTGTCCATTTCTGTTTTATGAGTGAGTTCACCCTATTCACATTCAAAGTTATAATTACTGGTTGTGGATTTTCCTCCATCCTATTTTTCCTCACTATTTATCTTTCTCTCTCTATTTACCCTCCTCATGTATCTAATTTATTTCTAACCACTGTCTTACTCTCCTGTTCCTTAATCTAACCACTTATCTAAAAGTCCCACCCTTATCCTCTTCCCCTGTCCTCCAACAGTTCCTCTCTTTTCCTATCTTCTTGCCCTCCTAATTTCTGTATCAATTTTAAAACTTTTATGCCCTTCTAGATGTGTATATTATTCCCTTTTTAACCCAGTTACAAGTAAGATTCTAGTGCTACCAGCCCTTCACCCGCACCTGTTTCCACTGTAAAAGCTCTTACATTCATGCCTCATTTGTATAATTATTCCATTTTACCTCTCCCTATCTGATTTTAATTTTTTAGGCTCATCCTATCATCAATCATATTCAGTTAAACCCTAAGACTTCTATCAATGTATGATCTTTCAAACTACCCAAGTAATGATAACAATCTTAATTAAGAGTACAAACAACATTTTCCTATGTAAGACTAAGCAGTTTGGCTTGAGTCCCTTATAATTGGTCTTTAATGTTTACCTTGTGTTTCTTCTTAATCTTATATGTCAAACTTTCAATTGAGTTTTGAAGTTTTTGTCACAAGTGCCTGAAAGTCTTTCAGTTCATTAAATGTTCATTTTTTAAAATTCAGGATTATACTCAGCTTAGCTGGATAAGTTATTCTTGGTTGTAGGCCCAGCTCCTTTACTCTACAGAATATAATGTTCCAAGCCCTTCAGTCTTTTAATGTAGAAGCTGCTAGATCTTATGTTATCCTGATTATAGCTCCACGGTATTTAAATTGTTTTTTTTTTCTCATTACTTGTCATATTTTCTCCTTAACCTGGGAGCTTCAAAACTTAGCTATAAAATTCCTGTAAGTTTTCATTTTGGGGTCTCTTTCAGGTGGTAATTAATTGATTTTTTTCTATTTCAATTTTACTCTCAATCTAGTACTTCAGGACAATTTTCCTTAATAATTTCTTGTAATATCATGTCTAAACTCTTTAATCATAATTTTCAGGTAGTTCAGCACTTCTTTTACTTTCACTCCTCACTCTGTTCTCCAGATCAGTTTTTTTCTAATGATTATTTTCTTTGTCTTATAACATTAGTTTCTCCTTACCCAATTCTAGTTTTTAAGGAATTATTTTTTCCTTAAAATTTTGGATCTCTTTTCCAATTGATTGACTTTTTCTTGATTTTCTTGGATTGTTCTTATTTTTTCTCAGCCTCTCTCATTTGATCTTAAAAATCCTTTTTAAGCTCTTCCAAGAATTCTTTTTGGGCTTGTGACCATTTGACATTTTTCTTTGAAGCAGAAGTGTGTGTTTGTTTTTTTAAACTTCACTATATTCTTCTGAATATGAACCCAGATCTTCTCTGTCTCCGCAGTAGCTATATATGGTCAGGTTCTTTCTCCTTTGCTTACTCGTTGTTATTATTATTTTATTATCATTTTAGCAGCTTATTATTTTTGGTTTTGTTTTTGTTGCTAGGCAGTGGGGTTAAGTGATTTGCCCAGGGTCACACAGCATGTGTCTGAGGCTGGATTTGAACTCAGGTCCTCCTGACTCCAGGGCTGGTGCTCTGTCCACTGTGCCAACTAGCTGCTCCACAGCTTATTATTATAATCAATTTCTAGTCCAGAGCAGGAATGATGCCTCAGACTTCAGGTTTTACGTAATTGTTTTTTAAGCTCTGTCTGGAAGCTGGACCTCTGGCACTTCGCTCTACCCCTGAGCTAGTGACTGGGGCCCCCTTCCACGAAGTCACTGCAAGTGCTCTTGCTCCTTGTGGGCTGGGAACTTCAGCTCACCCCTCTGCCCTGGAACAAAAACCCAGGGATTCAGCCCTCTAGCGAGTGCACACAACCAACAGGGTCCTGCTGCCCTCACTGGGAATGTGCTTGCTGCTCCTCACCTACAGCCACAGCACAGTCTGGTCAGTGAATCTGTGCCTGGTGTTCAGCAACTGGGGAGTATCTTTCAATCTTCCCTTGTTCAGCTGTCTGACCCCAGTTTCTGCAGCAGAGGCTGCCACCTACCCCGGGACTTGTTTGTTGATTCAGCAGAGTACCTAGAAGTGTTTGCACTTGAATTGGGTCAGGCTTCCTCCCCTGGAGGTTGGGTTCTCCTAAGGTCCTAGGTCTTAGGAGGACAACTGCTTTACCCCTGTGTTTTAATTATTTCTGGAGTTCAAAATTCCCTTTGAGGCAATATTTTTATTATGTTTGTGGGGGAATTTTGGTAAACCTGGTATTTCCTGTCTTAGTCTGCCATCTTCCCAGAATCCTCTCCAGAGGCAAGTATATTTTCACCAGACCTCCTTAACTGTGCTCTTTCTGTGGCCTAGAACCAGAATGACTAAAGAAGGACTTTTCTCCTTTTACCTATCAGTACCTCTTCCAAACAAATAATACTGTTGACTCCTTTTTTCTAGGAGAAATCCAGGATGATTCAGATTCATTTAATCTGCTTTGGTGGAACTATAATATATATTAGTCAAATCTTTCTGGTTTAAGGATCCTTGTTTTCTTCCCTCAACCCCTTTCCAGAACCTTTCTGGGACCTCTGGGCTTTGGAAAATCCATGTCACCCTTGCTTCACAATTGTATATACTGCTTGGATGAGAAGGCAATCCACAACTCTATTTCTTGTGGTGATATAGAAGATCACTAGGTCTTACTGTCTACCCTACCTCTAAGTCCTGAAATCTCCTGCCAACTGTCATCTCACCTATTTATATTACCTAAGGACTACTGGGCCTTAACATCCAGTCCATTGCCTCTTGAGAGCAGACACTGTGTCACTTTTTCTATTTATTTCTCCAGAGCTTAGTATACATAGCTCAGTACTTGGCATATATAGTAAGCACTTAATAAATTTTTTTTCATTCTTTCATTCACTATCTGCTGCTTTTTCTATTGTATATGCTTAAGCCAATAAAGTAGAAAGCAACCAAGTAGTCTTAGAAAAACCGGTTTCTTTTGAAAACCATTGCCAAAACAGAAAGCCAGCAATGTCTAAGAAAAATGATATATAGGATTTAGGCTCAGTAGAGAAAGCCAAAGCAAAGTACAGAATGGAGAGGTGGGAATTTTATCCAGTTAGTTCTCAGCATCACAGTCAGCCACTGATATTCTGTTGTGGCTTCATAGTCCTTTTCTTATTGGCCAGCCAGGACAGTAGCATCAGTGTCAACAACAGTAGTGGCACTAAGCACCTACCCAGTGAGCTGACCAACCTCTTTTTCCAGTGGCACACCAGATTTACTCTTTCTCTCCTCTCTCGTAGGACTAGATGAGAGGGACCTTTTCACAGGTCATGATCTTATGGCTCCCACGGAATTGTGTATTGGGAACCAGAAGCCTCTGTCTGCCAGTGAACACTGTCCCAGCTCCTTGTTATATAACAATCTGTGTCACTGTCTTATTTCACTGCTTTATGAGGGTGGGCAACCATGTCTTACTTATGTGTTGTATTTTCCCCAGTGCTGGACATGGTGTTCTCTACCCAGTTGATGCTTACTTAATAAGTGTTTGTTGAATAAATTAGTGAATAAAGAATGAAATGAGAAACAACCTATACTTAAAGCTAGAGGACCTAGTATTGAGTCCTACTTTAGTATTTATGACTCATGTGATGTTAGGTAAGTCACTCTTAGAGCTTCTGTTTCCTCCTTTGTAAAATGGAAATAGTACTTGTACTAGCTGACAGCTTCTTGTTCTGGAGGAAGGAGTCTTTGTAAATTGTATATCATAACAGAAATATGAGCTACTATCATTGTTTTTCAAACACTACAAAATAGAGCCTCCACAGACTTATCACGGTTTAAACTTGTCTTCTCAAATTGTCTCCTTTTATTCACCTATTCTGTCATTTATTCTTGCAGAAAAGCAGCCCAGAAGAACGAGAGAGAATGATCAAACAACTTAAAGAAGAATTACGATTAGAAGAAGCAAAACTTGTTTTGTTGAAAAAGCTAAGACAGAGTCAAATACAAAAAGAAGCCACTACCCAGAAGGTGTGTACTTTTTCTGGGATGTCTGAGATGAGTTGTTCTAATTTAGAATGAATCTCTTTGAGAATGATGGTTACAGGTATCTCATTTTGCACACTGCCTTAGGACATTTACCTATGTACAGAATCCTACTTTTTTTTTTTAAGAGCTGATGTGCATTTTTTGTTGTTTTAAGGAGAAAGGAGATATTTCTGGGACTATATAGGCTGGTACAGAAGGAGGGGAAATAAATTTAATGAAAGATATGTACAGGTGTCATAACGGCTTGTATATAAGCAGGACAACCTCTAATTGGTGGTGTTTTTCATTATATATTTAAGTTTTTCCTTCAGAGAGATCTCATTTTAGGAATTTGCCTTATATTCATATCAGTACAGTATGTAGTATGGTAAATGTTCTGAATTTAGTGGAAAGTACATTTCAATATGTAGTATTTCTTTTAGAGCAGTATATTTAAAATAGGACTTTTGTGGTACTGAAAACTTGACAATATTCCTTCAAATTAAAAAGAAATTTAATACCTATTTAAAAAACTTAAAGCAGCACTAAGACTTTTGGGACAGCACATATATTCAGTTAGTAGATAAAAGTCCATTGCTACCTAGGAACTCTACTACTCATATTTCAGGGAAGGCTTTCTTTTTCTTGCAATAATAGTTTGACAACTCCAAATTCTGTAACTTGGACATGCATGCCTTTGAACATTTTTTATTTTTCTTATTGTTGGATTTCTCTTTCCAGTCTGATCTGGGTCTTGTCTGAACATAGGTGTGTTCACCATGATATTAGTTTGTGTATGAAATAAATACTTTCATATTCCTAAATCTTTAACAAATACCTTTTTTAGAAAGATAATCAATCCATTTGTTAGATACATTTATTATTTGTATAAATCACTCTTACTAAATACACCATCTATTTTTCTCATTTTACTTTTTCATAAGGGCAGATAATTTTTAGAATTGAAAGGAACATTGAAAGAGTATGCATTCTTCATTGCAAATGTAGCGCCTCCATATTCCTTAGTAGAGGGTTTTCATGAGTTTGCCAGAGTTTAAAAAGTTATAAGATAGTGACTAGCATTGTTGATGAGGCTCTCTAGCTTCATCTTTGGGCCTATGCTGTCAGTCCTTCCAGCTGGATAAGACCAGCCATAGCTTGTCACTAACATAATCAAGAGTCCACAGCATGATGAAGCATCTGAGATAGATTTCAGTGGGGATCATCAGAGAAAAGTGTTTGAAAAATAACATGGATATATCCACGTCAAAGGCTTTGTTGGACCTTTAAAGTGCTTTGAGGTTTGTGCATTTTTTTCCTTTGGGAAAATTCCCATCTTGTGAAATCTCTCAGTTGCTTTTTGTTTTATTTTAGTAGGTATCTTTATAAACTAGAGAGTGAAATATATACTAGAGAATGGATATTTACATAAAGGCTTTTTTCTTTAAGAGGGAGGACAGGAAAAACATTTTATTTAACTGATTTGTAATTTTGTTTTGGGGCTTTCTACTTAGCATCCTTCCATCTTGTCTTTTGAAACTACTTAGAAGTGTTTGGTGCAGGCCATTTTCACCCACTAAAGAAGCAGGAGAACCTTAAATGCTAATCTTGGCCATATGGCAGCAAGACCAATTTCCCTAGCTCTCTTAGGGAAATAAGTTTCCATTAACATTTTTAGTCTCTTTGTCCAGACTGTTTAGTCTTTGTCCATCCCTGCACTAAGTTGTTTGTGGTAGTAGTTTCTATATTAAAACTTGTAGGCTTGGAGATTATCTTACCCATTTGTCAGGTGACAAGTTCTGAATATTATTGGGAGGTAAAGTGTTAAAACAGGAACCAGCCTATTCCAATATACCAGCCCATTTTGCTTACTTTTCTCAACCACAACCTGCAGCCATTCTGACCACCTGAGAACAAGGTATTCAACCTCCATTTAGCTATCTGGGGAAAGCGTTGAATGATTTTAAAAGCTCAACACCACAGAGGATCTATGGTCAATAGAAAATTGTTTCATGCCCTGTTTCTCCCCCCATTCACACATGCCCAAGTTTGGCCTTTGTTCCAATTATTGACACAGACAGAGACATTTTCTTAATTTGAAAGTATGGCTCTGGGAACGTGGGCAAAAAAATCACTATCTTCTTAGCAAAATCTTATTCCATAAGGATTACTTATTCTTGTGGATTTTAGGGGGAGGGGATGTTTTTGTTCCTCTTTAATTGCTTGTCACTGAGCTCCCACTCTCTCACGTGTATCATTTTGATGTTCTCTTTCAGCCTGCTGGCTCCTCTGGGAATGCTGTGGCCACCCCTCCCCCCTTGGTACGGGGAACACAAAACATTCCTGCTGGCAAGCCATCTCTTCAGGTCAGTTTGATCGTTGGAAATGCTGCCAGGTTGAAAGGAAGAGAAATGAGAAATGGCATAAGGAGAGGGAAAGATCAGTGCTTTCTTTCTAATTTGAAAAAAGAAAAAGAAATTCATTGTTGGCTTATTTATTATGTATTTATTGATAGAAAATATCTCAACAAAAATTCATTTGATGGAGGATGATGAATGTTTTCACATTGGAGTTTCAGTGTAGGACAAACCTGTTATTTATGATTAATAAGGAACAGATCCTGGTAGTCATGGCAAGCTGGAAAAACGTACTTAGTCAACTGTTATTAAATCATAAAGTCTCCAAACTTTGGCCACCAGATAGAGGCTTCATGGATTATTAAAAAAAAAAACAAAAACAGACTTTCTAAGCCAAGACTCACATGTTCCAAGTTTCTTTCCTGCTTGGCTCTTTATAATGAAATTCTAAATTCCTTCAACCAAAATGAGCATTTGAAATGCAGAAGCAGATTTATAACCCTCTAGCCAATAGAATTCCTTTTTGGATCTGCATTAGCCACCCCTCAGGCATAAGCAGGCTTGAAGGTACTGAAGTAATACTGCTTCCTCCCCTTTGAGGGAGAACAGCTCAAACAGTACTCCCTGATTACAAGGTAGATTTCCTGAGTGCACCTAAATAGTGTAAGCATGACACTTAGACTTCATCACCAGACCAGCCTCATAACTGAATTGCCCCTTATTCATCTTTGAAGGCACCTAGATCTTTGCTGTATGCATATTCTAAATGGAACCAATGTTGGGTGTGAGTGTTTCTCCAAAACGCTTCTTAGCTCCTGAATTAACCCAGATCCTGAATTTGGTTTCAAGTGTGATGTCTTAGACCTTGAACAAATCACACTACCCAATTTGAATTACAGTGGACCACTGTAACTGTGACCATCATCTATCTACCATTTTACACACTTTGTATTCCTTGTGATGTTCCTTTGTGTTTCCCCACCTATAAAGTCGTTGCCTTTTGGTCGCTTTGTAATTTGCAGGCCTCATCTACAAGAATACCAAGCAATGTTATTCCCCCTCCTCTGGTCCGTGGAGGCCAACAGACATCTTCAAAGCTGGGGTCTCAGCAAAACACACAAATAGTGATGCCCCCTCTTGTTAGAGGAGCACAGGTAAGAGGAGGGGTTTTAGCTGGATATTTTCTTTGTTCTCGTATATATGTGTAATCACTTGGATTCCTGAATCTCTTATTTTCCATACCTCTGCTCAAGACCTTATGAAGTTCACATTTCATTTGAATCTAGTAATATGATTAGGATCATGTTATCTTTTCTCACAGTAGTATTTGGCTGGCTGAACTCACTTCTGCTGCCTTGTTTAAATGTTTGGCACTGGTGTTGGGGTTGTCTTTTTTTAGCTTGGAATAACTAGAGTTTAAGCTCTAGACAAGTGAATTGGTTTGCAGTGTGGGATCTGACATTGTTTCGGTAATCTTTTTTTGTTTTGTTTTGGTTTGGTTTTTTTTACTCAGTAGACATTCTTTATCAACTTGATTTTTCCCCAGTGGTGAGTTAGGTCAAATCTTTTAAATGAATACAAACCCTGTCCAGGAGGGTCTGCATTGTTCTAGCACTCTGTACACTTATGATAATGTCATCCACAAACAGGAATAATCTGGATAACCTCACTGTCTTAAAGGAAATCCCTCATTAATTTGAATTCTCTGTAGGATCTCTTCCGTGATAGTGGTGAATATCTTTGGCAAGCTTATATTTCCTCACTTCATGCCTTTCTTGATGTTAATGGTAGAGAGTTATTGAACAAGATCCTCTCTGTTGTAGATTCAAAGAATTTGATAATTGTTTAATTTTTAAATTTTTTTTCAGTACCAAATTCTGTCCCTCCCTCTACTCCCCTACCCATTGAAAAGGCAAGAAATACAGTACATTATACATATGAAGTTATACAACACAAATCTCTGCATTAGCCACCTTGCCCCTCCCTCCCTGTAAATGGCAAGAACAATGAAATGGGGGGGACTTTTCAATCTGCACTCTTGATAATCTTTGAGTGGAAGACACACCTTGGTGAAAGATAGCCATCAAGATGGTGTTATGCTGGGGCAGCTAGGTGGCGCAGTGGATAAAGCACCGGCCCTGAAGTCAGGAGAACCTGAGTTGAAATTCGGCCCAGACCAAACACTTGACACTTACTAGCTGTGTGACCCTGGGCAAGTCACTTAACCCCAATTGCCTAAAAACAAACAAACAAACAAACAAAAAAGATGATGTTATGCTCTACCAAACCAGTGGTTTTTTTTGTTGTTTTTTATTTCCCCTCTCTGGCAGTTGGGGTTAAGTGACTTGCCCAGAGTCACAGCTAGTAAGTGTCAAGTGTTTGGTCTGAGGCAAGATTTAAATTCAGGTCCTCCTGACTTCAGGGCCAGTACTCTATCTACTGCACCACCTAGCTGCCTCTAAACCAGTGCTTTTTAATAATCAAATAACAGTAAGCATAGTAGATAGTTTCTCCATCTTTCAGTCACTTGTGTAATGGTAAATATGGGAATCTATGCTGCAACATTGCTTACAAAAGCTTGCTTGTTCCCTACAAATAACCTCATTGAGGATGTCCTCAATGTTTATGTGGGTTATTCTCAAAAAAATTTGTATAGATGGGAAAGTAACCATTTGACCAATAGCCTTCAGTGTTCTTTCTATTGCCTTTTTTTATGTTAATAAGATTTTTTTTCTCAAATCTTCGACATCTTTCCTCCCCTTCACATACTTTGTCAATTAATTTCTCAATGTCATCACATTCCCACAATATCCCTTAATTTCTGTTTATGCTTTTGGTTTATTATAACTGTTTTTCTTCTCTTTAAGGCCATTTTTGCCTTTTCTATATGTATATCTTAGACTTTGTCATTAGAATTCAAATGTGTGGTAACTCCACTTTTCTTAATAATAAAATAAGTTTATTATAAAAATCTTTTGCTATCTCTTGTGTTTTTCTTATATTTGTAGTCTTCCTTTTTTCTTCTTTAAAAATAACCTTGCTTAGTTGGGTCTCTTGTCAAGCTTTTTTAAACTAGTTTTATCTTCCCTTGCCCCTCATGTTCTAGTTTTATATTCCAGTTCCATGTTTTCCAGTTTTATGTTCATGTTCCAGTTTTATGAAATCAAAATCTTTCATAGTCTTTCTCCGTAAGGTTTTTTTTTTTTTTGTGAGGCAGTTGGGGTTAAGTGACTTGCCCCAAGTCACACAGCTAGGGGCAGCTAGGTGGCGCAATGGATAGAGCACTGGCCCTGACGTCAGGAGGACCTGAGTTCAAATCTGGCCTCAGACCAAACATTTAACACTTACTAGCTGTGTGACCTTGGGCAAGTCACTTAACCCCAATTGCCTTAAAAAAGAAGAAAAAAAAGAAAGAAAGAAAAAAAGTCACACAGCTAGTAAGTGTTATGTGTCTGAGCCTGGATTTGAATTCTTGTCCTCCTGACTCCAGGGCCTTTGCTCTATGCACTGTGCCACCTAGCTGCCCCTGTATAAGGTTTTACAGATAAGTTTATATTCTAAACCATTATCACCTTTGGCTGCTATAGCTCCTATATCTGCCATATCTCTGAATTCTCTGTAAGAGCTTTCCAGTAAAAATATGTTACTTGAAAGCAATGACTTTCATTTTTGTCTTTGCATCCCCAGTAGCCCAGCCCTTTGCCAGACATTATAGGCACTCAATAAATGCCTAAATAAGTTTTTTTAGAGCCCTTTTCATTTTCTTATCATAACATTTGATATGTATATGTGTGTGTGTGTAAACGTGTTATGAAATTATTTTAACTCATTTCTATGACCTTTTGTCTAAATCTTTTTTTTTTCTTTTTTGCATCAGTGACTTGTTTAAATAGATATTTATTAGTTTTTAGTTATAAGATCTTTAGATCTTTGCTCTAACAAATCATTGATTTTGACCACGCACAGACTTCTGGTTTAGGACATCTCCTCCTTACCCATAATGAAATGAAATCTACCTCTGTAACTTTACCATTAATTTTAGTTTTGTCCCTATCCCTTCTCCCCCTCCCTAGTGCCAAGCAGAAGAGAGATAATATGTCTTCCATATGCCATCACTTTTTTATTTGATTGGCTATTTTATTTTTATGCAAGCAGACAAAACTATAAAAATATTTGTTTTGAAAACTATTTTAAATTCATTTGCATCCTCTTAATTTCTTTCAAATTCAATATTTGGGCGTGGGACTACTTAGGTTCAAATTAGCTTCTGATTTTTTTTAAGAATATTTTTGGGGCAGCTAGGTGGCGCAGTGTATAGAGCACCGGCCCTGAAGTCAGCAGGACCTGAGTGCAAATCTGGCCTCAGACCAAACACTTGACCCTTACTAGCTGTGTGACCCTGGGCAAGTCACTTAACCCCAATTGCCTTCCAAAAAAAAAAAAGACTATTTTTTATTTTTATTTTCATTTTTTAGATTTTCTCTCTCCTTCTACCCCCTCCCCTATAAATTGAGAAGGCAAGAGATACAATACCCATTTTACATATGAAGTCATGTAAAACATTTCTACATTAGCCATTGGGGGGGGGGGGAAGCAAGAAAAATTAAGAAAGTGCAAAAAAACATCCTTCATTCTGCACTCAGAGGCCATCATTTCTCTGTCTGGAAAGTGGATAGCATTTTTCAGTCCTTTGGAATTGTCATGGATCATTTCATTGATCAGAGTTGCTAAGTCTTTCACAACTGATTATCTTTACAATATTTCTATTTATTACGTACTTTGTTGTCCTGGTTCTGTTCTCTTCATTTTATATCCGTTCATACAACTCTTCCCAAGTTTTTCTGAAACTATTGCCTTCATCATTTCTTAAAACACAAGTTTTCCATCCCAGTTATATTGTTCAGCCATTTCCCAATTAATGGGCATCCCCTCAATTTCCAGTTCTTTGCTGTATAGACTTTGAGTATTGTTGGGTCAAACTGGTATGTATTAAGTTTTATAGCCTTTTGAATGAAGTCCTTTATTGTTCTCTGGAATGATTGAACTAGTTCACAGCTCTGCCCATAGTGCATCAGTGTACCTATTTTACCACATTCCTTCCAGCATTTGTCATTTTCCTTTTCTGTCATCTTAGCCAATCTGATTTGTTTTCAGTTTGTACCTCAGAGTTGTTTTAATTTACATTTCTGTAATTATTAGTGATTTAGAGCATTTTAAAAAATATGACTGTTGATAGCTTTGACTTCTTCTGAAAAGTGCTTATTTGTATCCTTTGACCATTTATCATTTGGGGAATGGCTTTTATTTTTATAAATTTGGTTCACTTCCATATATATTTGAGAAAAGAGACCTTTATCAGAAAATTGCTGTAAAATTTTTCTGCCAGTTTCCTGCATTTCTTCTAATTTTGGCTGCATTGGTTTTCTTTGTGCAAAACCTTTTTAATTTAATGTATTTAATTATCCATTTTACCTCCTGTGATCCTTCTTATCCCTTGTTTGGTCATGAACTCTTCCCCTATACATAGATTTGACAGGTAATTTTTTTTTCCTTGATCTCCTAATTTTCTTATGATATCACCTTTTATTTCTAAATCATATGCCTATTTTGAACTTTTCTTGATATCAGTGTGAGAGATTAGTCTTTGCCTAGTTTCTGCCAGACTACTTTCCAGCTTTTTCCAGCAGTTTTTGTCAAAAAATGACTTCTTTCCCCAATAGCTGGAATCTTTGGTTTTATCAAAGAACTAGGATAATGTGCTCATTTTCTTCTACATATTGGATACCTAATATATTACATTGATCAGCCATTCTATTTCTTATCTGGTACTGAATTGCTTTGATGATTACTGCTTTGCTGTATGCTTTGAGGTCTGGTACTACTAGACCCCTTTCCTCCATGTTTTGTTTTTTTTTTCATTGATTCACTTGATATTATTGACCTTTTTTCCACCAGATGATTTTTTTTATTATTTTATTAGATCTATAAAGTAATTCTTAGGTAATTATGCCATCATTTCAAATATTGAAAGGGAGAAATCATATTCCTCTTAAGTCATTTTCAGGGCTAAGCATCACTAGTTCCTTTAGCCTGTTATCATTTGGAATGGTCTCAGTTTTCTCAACTTACCTGTGGACACACTTCATTTGGTCTGTATCCATTGTAAAAGGTGGTGACCAGAACTGAATACAGTACTTCTCATTTGGGTCTGTTAATGACAGGGGACAAGCAGTTCTAACATTATCCTTACCCCAGAAGTAACAGTAACCTTGTACTATTAATCAAATTTTGAAGCATCAAAAAGTTCAAGACAGCATTCCAGCCAACCACCACATTAGCATTTTGTAGTGTGAGGAAATCCCCACAGATGATATTGTATTCAGAGATCCTGTATGAATATATAGAGTTGGGCTTACTAACAGCATGTAAAACGAGACTTTTCTGTGCAAATCTCACATGAGACTTTTACATTATTACTGGAACTGAAACAATCATCAATGCAGTAAAGTTCTTTTCTTGAACCTTGGGTCTTGCAATTATAGTTAATAGCATATGAATTATATTAACTGTGATAATAGTAATACTGTTGCTTTTTTTGTCCTTGTCTTATATCATCTCCATTACATCATTCCTTTGCTTCATGAAACCATTGCATCAGCCAATCTCTGTCTCTCCCCAGCAAATCCATAACATCAGGCAGCATTCCAGCACAGGCCCGCCTCCTCTACTTCTGGCACCGCGGGCATCTGTTCCCAGTGTGCAGATTCAGGGTCAGAGAATTATACAACAGGGTCTCATCCGTGTTACCAATGTCCCCAACACTAGCCTGCTGGTAAATATCCCACAGGTGAGTTCTGAGTTATCTTTATGAAAAACATAATGCTTGCTTTAAGGAAACCAGGGTAAAGAGCTGTAACTATAGGGTGAGACCCCAGAAGGACGAAGGGTCCATAAATACATGCAAATTTAATGGATTTGATTCCTCACTTGGGAGCTAGTAGTTATACCAGACTCTAGTTAGAATAAATATTTCTATTTCCTCCCACTTTACCTGTGCAGCCCTTGAATGTTGACTCAAATAACACAATTTCAGCAAAGTTGCAGGATATAAAATAACCATACAAAAATCCTTAGCCTTTCTGCATATTACCAACAAAATTTAGTAGTAAAATTCCCAGTACCATGGTCCCCAAAGTAGTCTTCCCTTGGTTAAAATCATTATTCTACCCAAAACAAAGATAAGATAATTAAAGCTTTTATTAAAGGGCAGACTGGCAAGAAGAACTCTTAGTTGTCTACACGTTGAAATTAGGAGGTTTTGAATGACTGTACGACTTGGTATTTTACCTTTTTCAATGGCTTACTCTTGCCAACATTACTTGAAATCCATTTTCTTCTTTCTCATCTTCTGTTGATGTAAGTAAGCCCTGTCATCTAAATAGGGAAATTGAAGGTAGAATGCAATAAGTATGCACCTCATTGTACTTCATAGCAGGCAGATATTAAAATGTTAAAAGCAAGTGTTGAAAAGGTTGGGGGAAAACAACTGGGCTAGGCAATGATTAAATCATTCCTCTCCACTTTGGGCTCTCATTTGACTGGGTTTTAGACAGGAACCCTTTTCTGTTTAATATATGAGACTGACCCAGGTTTGTGCTTTTCTCTTTGGCTTTTGTTTTATTTTTAAGGCCTCACCAACTTCAATTAAAGGTACAACAGTCACGTCTGCTCAGGGTAATGCAACTACCACTGGTGTTGCATCCATAGTGAATGCCAATGATTCACCAGCCAGCCGGCAAGCTGCCGCAAAGCTTGCCCTACGCAAACAGCTGGAAAAGACGCTGTTAGAGATTCCCCCTCCTAAACCACCTGCTCCGGAGATGAATTTTCTACCCAGTGCAGCCAACAATGAATTTATATACCTAGTTGGATTAGAGGAAGTGGTACAGAATCTCTTAGAAACTCAAGGTGAGCTAACAGTTGTGCACATATATACTCTTCTTTTCTGGTCCCTGAAATTGCTGTTAAACATCATGCTTTTAATGTGGTAGTATTTAGAATGCCACAACTGAGAAACATCCTATAGTCTTCACTGTTGCTATTCACTGGAGCAAACTGATGCCTTAGGATCATAGTATCATATCAGTATCGTATCATGTCACATCAAGCAATTTGACATAGTTTATACATGTATAGTCATGCAAAACACTTCCATAATAGTCATGTTGTGAAAGATTAACTATATTTCCCTTTATCCTAGCCTGCTCCCCATTTATTCTATTCTCTCCTTTGACTCTGTCCCTCCTCAAAAGTGGTTGCTTCTGATTACTCCCTCCCCTAATCTGCCTTCCCTTCTATCATCTCTCTCCCTCCGTGCCCCCCCCTTTTCTTATCCCCTTCCTTCCTACTTTCCTGTAGGATAAATAGATTTCTATACCCATTTGTGTATGTTATTCCCTCTTTAAGCTTGTTCTGATGAGAGTAAGGTTCATTCATTCCCTCTCACCTCCTTCCTCTTCCCCTCCACTCTAAAAACTTTTTCTTTTCTGTTTTATTTGAGATAATTTACCCCATTCTACCTCTCCCTTTCTCTTTTCCCCAGTACATTCCTCTCTCACCCCTTAATTTTATTTTTTAGATATCATTCCTTCATATTCAACTCACACCTCTGACCTCTGTGTGTTTATATACTCTCTTCAAGCTACCCTAATAATGAGAAAGGTGTTATGAGTTACGAATATCATCTTTCCATGTAGGAATGTAAACAGTTTAACTTTAATAAGTCCTTTATGGTTTCTCTTTCCTGTTTACCTTTTCATGCTTCTTTTGAGTCTTGTATTTGAAAGTCAGATTTTCTGTTTAGCTCTGGTCTTTTCTCAAGAATGAATGAAATTCCTCTATCTCATTGAAGGTCCATTTTTTCCCCTGAAGGTTTATACTCAGTTTTGCTAGGTAGGTGATTCTTGGTTTTAATCCTAGCTCCTTTGACCTCCAGAATATCATATTCCAAGCCCTCCAATCCTTTCATATAGAAGCTGCTAAATCTTGTGTTATCTCAACTGTGACTCCACCATACTTGAATTGTTTTTTTCTGGCTGCTTGCAATATTTTCTCCTTGACCTGGAAACTCTGGAATTTGGCTATACTATTCCTGGAAGTTTTCACTTTGGGATTTCTTTCAGGAGGTGATCGGTGGATTCTTTCAATTTCTATTTTATTCTCTGGTTCTAGAATATCAGGGCAATTTTCCTTTATATTTCTTGAAAGGTGATGTCTAGGCTTTTTTTTTTTTATCATGACTTTCAGGTAGTCCAATAATTTTAAAATTATCTCTCCTGGATCTATTTTCCAGGTCAGTTTTTTTCCAGTGAGATATTTCATAGTGTCTTCTATTTTTTTATTCTTTTGGTTTTGTTTTATAATTTCTTGATTTCTCGTAAAGTCTCATTAGCTTCCATTTGTTCCATTCTAATTTTTAAGGAATTATTTTCTTCAGTGAGCTTTTGTACCTCTTTTTCCATTTGGCCAATTCTGCTTTTTAAGGCATTCTTCTCATGGCGTTTTTGGACCTCTTTTGCCATTTGAGTTAGTCTGTTTTTTAAGGTGTTATTTTCTTCAGTATTTTTTGGGGTCTCCTTTAGCAATCTGTTGACTCATTTTTCATGATTTTCTTGCATCACTCTCATTTCTCTTCCCAGTTTTTCCTCTGCTTCTCTTACTTGCCTCTCAAAATCTTTTTTGAGTTCTTCCACGGCCTGGGGCCGATTCGTATTTTTCTTGAAGGCTTTGGATATAGAAGCTTTGACTTTGTTGTCTTCTTCTGGTTGTTTTGATCTTCTTTGTCACCAAAATAAGATTCTAAAGTCTTGAGTTTTTTTCCACTCATGTTCCCAGGCAATTATTTGACTTTTAAACTCTTTGTTAAGGTAGAACTCTACTTCCAATGTGGAGAGTGTATTGTCCAAAGCTTCAGGGATTTTGTGCAGCTGTTTTCAGAGGTACTTCTAGGGACCTGCAATTTTCAGTTCTTCCAAGATGGTATGATCAAAGGAGAGGTGTTTACTACTGTCCTGGCCTGTGCTCTGATCTGTGAGTGACCACAAGCACTCTTTTCTACCTTGTAACTATGAGGATTCCCTCTCCACTGCTGCCACAAGCTCTGCCACACCAACACTCCTCCCTGCCCCAGTACTATGACCCAGATCCAAGCATAGGCAAAGCAAGAGAATCCTGCCTCAGCAGCAGCAAAGAGATACCTGTAGTCTCCCTCTGATCAGCTGCTTGATACCCCCACCATCTGTGGGCCGAGAGCTATAGAAGCAGCCGCTGCCGCTGTGGCCAGCACTCCGGGGCTGCGCTAGGGCTGGACTGTACTCCTCTCTCCCTGATCCAACAGACCTTTCCCACTGATCTCTGAGTTGTCTTTGGCATTTGTGGGTTAAGAAATCTAGAAACCACCACAGCTCCCTTTGATTCAGTCCCCTGAGGCCTGCTCTGGGTTTGCTGGGCCCTATCTTTGCTTGTGTGGCCCACACTGAACTGCGCTCCTCTCCCAGCCCAGCACAACAGACCTTTCCTATTGCCCTTCCAGGTTGTTTTGCACTGGAAATTTGTTTCACTCTGTCTTTTCGTAGGTTCTACTGCTCTAGAATTTAGAGTCAGTTTGTTTTGGTCAGGCAATTGGGGTTAAGTGATTTGACTTGAGTCACAAAGCTAGTAAGTGTTGTTATATATCTGAGGCCAGATTTGAACTCAAGTCCTCCTTACTCCAGGGCAGATGCTCTATCCACTGTGCCACCTAGCTGCTCCTAGAATCATATTTTATAGGTATTTGGAGGGCTTTGGGGGAGAGCTCAAGCAGTCACTGCTTTTACTCCACCATCTTGGCTCCACCCCCACTTCATTCACTTTTTCAGAATTTGTTCTACTTGATCCCTCTTCCCATCACCTACCTCCCTTTTGCTCATCTCCTTTACATCTTCCCTTTCCCTCCGTTCTTCCCGCTCTGTGACATGTATTTATACCCAGTTCTGTATGTGTGTGTGTCTGTGTATGTGTATTCTTCCCTTTTTTGACCACCTTACATAAGGTTGAGGTTCAAGTGTTGCCTACTCCCTAACTCTTCCACCTGGTTTATGTAGACCTCTGCTTGAACACTCCAATTACGTGAAATCATTTTCCCCATCCTTCCTCTTCTATTCCCCACACCCCAGTGTGTTCTTCTTCCCCTTTCTTTTTAAGATCAGAATATAACAGAACTAACCCCACTCTCCTCCCAGGCATTCTGTCTAATTAAACTTCTGTGACTCCCTAATGATGATAGAGTTTTCAGGGGATGAATGTATCATATCCCTATATTAAAATATAAGCAATTTGTCTTGTTAGTTCCATATGAGCTAACACACGTTTGCTTTTTTATATTTCTCTTCATTTCTGTGTTTGCATTTCAAAGTTTCTACACACCTCTATGTCACACAGGTGGTAAGAAATAAAGCAGGAAAGAATGTTAGTCTTCTGGTACTAAATCTAGTGCTCTTTCTTTTTATTTTTTATTAATATATTTTGAGTTATCAACAGTCACTTCCATAAGCTTTTGAGTTTAAAATTTTTCTCCTCCTCACCTCCCTCCCCAAAATGGCTCGCAATCTGATATAGGCTATATTTATACATTCCTATTAAACATATTTTCACATTAGTGATGTTGTAAGTAAGAATTAGAACTAATAGGAGGAACCACCAGAAAGAGTAAACAAAACACAACAGAAGAAAAAATAGCAACTAATATTCTTTGATCTGCATTCAAACTCCATAGTTCTTTCTTTGGTTGTGGATAACATTTTCCATCATGAGACACTTGACTATGTCTTAGATCCTTGAATTGCTGAGAAGAGCTAAGTCTGTCAAAGCCAGTCATTGCACAACGTGGCTGTTACTGTGTACAGCATTCTCCTGGTTCTGCTCACTTCACTCAGCATCAGTCCATAAAAGTCTTTCCAGGTTTTTCTCAATCCTGCTCATCATCTAGTGCTCTTTCCTCTGCAGCACATGGACTGTTGCCTCTATATCTAATAGACAGAGGCTGAGTCTAGTACCAGTCTACTAGAACTTTCAAACAAGGGCAAACCCAAAGGAACGTTGAACAGACACAAACACAGGTCTGAAACTTGGGCAGAGCTCAGATGAGGAGGGCAGTGCTCAGACTTTGCATTGAATTAAACTGATTTGGCTAAACTGACAGCAAGCAGGTGCCCAGTCTAAGCTGTCCCTGAGATCATGGAATAACACCACAGTCAATACCCCAAGAAAGAAGGACTCAAGAAAACAAAAGCCCAGTTCAGATATTCTCTTTAGAATTGCATAGACCCCAATCCTAACATAAGTAGGCTGGAAGAATGAGCAAACAATATAGTCCTTTTCTTTAAACTATGTGTCAAGAGGTACATATGAATTTTTATTTAGCCTTTATATCTGTTTGACCTGTTTGCTCCCAAAGAGGAGGAATGTCTTTCAAGCCATACTTTAATACTTTTGGGATCCATGGTTTCATCTGTGTAGGTGTTCCCTCCATCAAAGCTGATCAAGTTCCCTCTATTTAGTTGGCAGTCTTTCTGAGTTACTGTGGCTAAAAAAAATTAGCTGGTGGCCAGTCTTTTAGTGAAATGCCTCTGAAAACATAAGTCTGTCCTTGGACAACAGGCACTCAATTCGTTCATTATCAGTCTTCTCCATGAAGCCTTTCCAGGTTGGTAGGATGTACCAGAGCTCACACTCCAAAGTGCTGTTGGACTCAGCCAGCTGCAAAGTTCTACATATTGACAGTGACAGAAACTGCAGATTGCCCTTTGGTTTGAGATTCCTCCCCTGGTTATTCTGCCAGAGGTTTCACACTGGGCTGGAGGCTGGAACTGAGCCTTATTCATCACCTAGGGTTAGAGCCATACAGTTTATTGTTTGCTTCCAAACTTGTTCTTAGTAGAGGACCCTGGGACACCACCCTAAATATAGATTCCATTCTCAGTTTTCCCCGTATCTCTGACCCAGGTTTGGGTAATAAACAAGAACATGGCCCGTCAGCATTTATTCTCACATTCTGCACAAGATTAGAAGCCCTCCGTGGATCTGGCATATCTTTTTGTTTGGGTGTACATCCTCAGTCCTCTTCAGTTACTACATGCTGGACTACTCCATGACAGCACACCTCTGTCCACATCCTGTTCCCATTTCTGAAGACCTGTCACCCTCTGCTACTGTAGGTTCAAACTGTGGCTCACTATGGCTTTTTTCTTAGATTTCCAATTAGTTCTCAGTCTAATGTGTTCCCTAGATCTTTGTGGAGGGTTGTATCAAAGTGCTAAACTGCACTGTGTCATCTTGAATCTCCTTCTCTAACATCCTTTCTAGTTCTATAAGTCTTTTTGAGCAAGAACTCCTGGAGATACCTAAGTAGAAGATGGTGGCATATAAAAGAGTTTTAAAATGAATGCTCATCATAATAATAACTCATGTTTCCATAGTGCATAGATTTAAGAAACTTTTCCCTTACAACACACTTGTAATATGAGTAAAAAGACCATTTTTTGCATTTTATAAAGGAGAAAACAGCCTCATGGGAATGAAGTGTTTTGCCCAGGATCACCCTTCTAGTAAATGTGAGAGCAGAATTGGAATCCAGTTCTTTTTTTATTCCTAACCTAGAAGTGTTCATCAAGCTGCCACTCCAAGAACACTGAAAAGAGGGCATTTTTCCTAGGCCAAGGGGATCTTAAATGCTGAATTTGGAGGGAATCAATCCGTTTTTGAGGAAATACACATTTCAGTTTTTAGTCTCTTATCAAGTCAGAAAGGCAACAAGTCTAGTGAGAAAAGCACTTCATTTGCTATTGAGACCTGAGTTCAAATTCTGGCTCTGATACTACTTAGCTATGTGGTCCGGAACAAATCACTTTAACTCTCTGGGCCTCTGTTTTCTTATCTGAAAAATTGTAGTGACTATACTATTTACATGAACTAACTCAGTTGTTAAAAAGAGTGCTTTATAAACCTTAAGTGCTATAGAAGTGGGAGTTGTACATTTTTAGCTAGATACTTTTTTTTTTTAAAGGAAATGTTCTTTGTTGACCTAAGCTTCAAACTAACCTGATTTCTCCAGGCAAAACTTCAACTGCAGCTTTATCCCATGAGCCCTACATGTGTGCTCAGTGTAAGACTGATTTCACCTGCCGATGGCGAGAGGAAAAAAATGGAACCATCATGTGTGAAACTTGTATGACATCAAATCAGAAAAAGGCACTGAAGGCCGAACATACCAATCGCCTAAAGGCTGCTTTTGTGAAGGCTTTGCAGCAAGAGCAAGAGATTGAACAGCGGATATTACAGCAGACATCTTCTCCAGTGCAGACCAAGCCAGAGCCAATGACTCAACATCATTCGCTGAAACAGGTAAGCAGGGAGACTTCACAACTACCACCAGAGAACCGTTGCTTTCTGGACCCTCAGTCAGATTTGACTCAGTTGTGTGTAGTGTCAATTGACACCAAAATGTACCTTGATCCTTCTAGGTATTCTTAAATTCTGATCCTTATGGAGTAAGATGAGTTTTTCTGTTGTACTCTAGGCTGAGCTTGGAACAGATTCTCATCAGTAGAGGAAAGTTTTCAGCCAACTGTTGTAGCTAAGTCCAGTACTACTGAACTGGCTTCATTCAGGACATCCCAAGGTTGTAATTCAGAAGCTATCTTTCATGTGCTGTAAATTGATCTGAAGGCACCCAACACTTGGTGGACTTTATGTCCACCTAATTTCTACAGTGAATTGTTTCAAACCTGGCTTAACCATTGGAAGAGCTTGTTGTTCTGCCTGTCACTGAGTTAGTGATTGCTTTATGTAATATTCAGTGTTTGCATTTTACTTTTTGAAAATACTAATTTGAAATTCAAATGTTGAACTTCAAATTTTCACAATATAGAGGATAAAAAATGCTACTTTGAAAAACAATCTTTTTATGAGGGTAAAGTTGAAATACAAAATAAGTACTTGTTAGATTTGCTGTAGTGTCCAATCTAAAGGGCATTGTCTTGAAAGATGTATAAATAGACAGATATTAAGATGAAACAGATGATTTCATTATATTTATGTGGCGTATCTGTACCAGGGAATTTGAAGGTCTTTCCCAAATTACACTAATTCTTTGGTCCATAATGATGGTTTCCTAAAATCCTTTCTGCTGTTTGATATGGAAACAGTGAGACACTTGTGATTCAGTTTTTTTATATCTCCTCTCCAGGAATTTTTTCAAAGACTTAAGAGTCAAGTGTTTACTCTAGGGCTTTTTGAGGAAATTTACAACATTAAAATAGTTTTAAAATATTAAGATTTTAGCACAGTTTTTTTCCTCTTGAGGAAATTGCAGCATCCTGCATTTTAGGTAAAGAGTATAGTACAGATTTTACTCTCAAAAATGTTATAATTTTGTGAGGAGAAGAAGAACAAACACACAAAAAAGTATATTACTGTGAATTGTAAATAGGATATCTAAGCCTAGTGCTATGAGAAATGAGACGAGAGATTTTGACTTGGATTAGTAGGTTACAGTGGTGGTGGTCTAGGAAGTCTTCATGGAGCAGGAAGAATTCTGAGTTGAGCCTTGAAAGGGGACTTGAAAAAATTTGAGAAGAGGCAGACGAGTCCTTTCCACGTATGACAGATGAAGACAGGAGTGAGAGAGGGCCAGGAGGTAAAGAGGTGTGTCATTTGGGCAGAGTATGTGACAGGGACTACAGGATGAGGATACAAGTCTACAAACTGGCAAAGAGTAGCATTCCAGGAGGCTCTGTAAATGAGGGTCAGGCTCTACCAGAGCCATGAGTCATCTCCTTTTCAGGTACCCTTTTGTGCAAATCATAAAACCATGGCCTAAGTTGCCATTCTACTCAGGAAAGGCCTGCAACTGGAGTAGTGGGACTGTGCTGCAAGTCAGAACTGAGGTTCTGGGGGAAACTGACCTAGCCCCTCCCTCGGCTGCTCTCAGCTCACCCGTGACAGTACAAGCCCTTCCTACCCAACATCTAGGATGGATTAATCTTGCAAATACAATGTGCTGTTTTCTCTTTTTCCCCTTCTTGGTATAGGTTCTGAGGTCTCCAGTTTTTAACTGATAGAATGATTTGGCTGGGTTGAGGTAGGGGGTGCAGCAGAGGATGGAAGTTCTGAGAGTTGTATTGAGCTTTATGAAATCCCAGGCTAAACTTTATGAAATCTCTTCTGATTGTTTCTTCTCTTACACTAGACTTCTAGCCAACTGGCCAGAGGCCCCCCAGGGGCTCCCCGAGGAGTCTTACACACATTTAGCCAGTCACCTAAACTGCAAAATACTGCAGCTGCTGCAGCACTTGTTACCAGGCCAGGTAAGCATGCAGAGAGACCTGTCAGCAAGGGCAATGCTACCACTAACTGGAAGAAGACTCCCATCAATACAGGTAGGTTTTTAACATCTTGTTTTTGATAGACATTACTCTTTTAAAATTTTATTCAATGCATATACATCATCTTCCTACCTCCCACCCCCATTCAACATACTTGGAATCTTAAGGTTTTAGATCTAGAAGGATTTAGGGATCATTGTCTAAATACTTCTACCCCCCCTCATTTTAAGGACAAGGAAGCTGAGGCCCTAAGAAGTACAGTGACTGGCCTAAAGTTGCACAGGTGGCAAAGCTAGGATTCAATCCCAGGTATTCAGGCATAAAATCGAGTGTTCTTTTAATTCCATAAGCTGACCGGTTTAGAGATAAACTACCTTGCACTTTTAATAGTGAAGAAACCATGGGTAAGGGAGAGACCTAGATGGCCACAATGAGTTGGAGTGCGAAGTAGAGAAAGATAAATCATACAGAAGAAGGCTGGAAAAAATAGAGGAACAATCTCAGCATGGTCTGAGATGAATACTGCACCTGGACTTCCAAATTATCACTTCCTCTCTTAGCCATTTGAAATTTGAATTAGTAGATTTATGCATTTGCATATTTTCAATTCTTTGTGGAATTGAATGGGTTCTTTCCTTAACCCTTTAATGGCTCTACCTTGAAGAGGGCAATGAGGGAAGACATTGGATTTTCAGAGCTCTGGTACTAAATCAGAGGATCTCTTTTCTTTTTCCACCTGTATGACCCATGCACCAACCCACCCACCCCAAACCCCCTCATACACAGTAAAGGTTAAAACATTTTCTTCAAAGTAATCTTGTGAGGTAGATGATATAGATAATTGTGAAGATTAGGAAACTGAAGTTCTGAGAGTGGAAGCAGCCTGCAGCTGAGGGTCACATATCTATTAAGTGCAGGAGTTATGATCTGAACCTAGTCAATCAGCAAGCATTTATTAAGCGTTTACTATGTATTAGACATTGTGCTAAGCACTGGGGATATTTACCCAAAAAAAAAAAAAGGCAGCTATCAAAGCTTTAAACCACACTAAGACTTTTGGGACATCCTGTACCTGGCAAGGTAGACCAATGTGAGTGGCTAATAGAAAAAAATTTGTATTTTATTCAAGAGTAGGGCAGGGAGCCCCTGGTGCTTTTTGAGCAGGAGAGAGGCTAAGGAAATAACATGATACTTTGTTGCAAATGCTACTTTGATGTTATTAGCATGGTTAAGTAGACCTCCTCATAGTTCTGAACAGATTTTTAGCTTTGCCTAAGTTTTTGAGTTCAAAGTACAGGATATTACATGTAGTATACATTTAATAAGTGACAATTTGATTGAATCCTCCGTTTTCCAACTACTTCTATTCTGTAGGTAAAAATTAACTTCCTTGGGAACCTTCCTTGTTACTTGGAGATATCATTAACAGAAACTAGGTGACAGTTTGTTGGGAATTCTCTAGAGGAAATTTATACTATAGGTAAGGGATCAGACTAGATAGATAACCTCTGAGACCCCTTCCCACTCTGAGATGGTATAGTTTTACATTTGCTTTTGGAAGATGGTAGTATTATCCATTTTATGAATGTTTTTGTGTTGTGATCCATCAAGCACTTTTCTTCTCTTGAACCAACTATTATACATCTGCGGTTAAATGATGATTACTATGACTCTCATGTATTTCGAGTGTGAATCCTTTAGTGGATACCATCTGTCTAATAAACCCACTCACCTTTACTGTTTACCACGTAGCATAGTGTTAACAACAGGTTTCAAGACACATTTTCTCATTTTAAAGGGTTTGTAGTCCATCTGGGAAAACAACTTGCAAATAAGAAATCTTGTCATTCTCAAAGAAGTGCTTTGGTACCTGGAGAGCTTGGTTTTTGCCGTTCAAAATGATGTCTTTGTAGGAAATTAAAGGATAGAATAAATGCCAAGAATAAAATCTTTCTAATCTGTGTTTATTCTTCTATGATACATTATTCTTATTAGACTCCAGTTATAAAAAAAGATTAGAGTAGATGATAACCTTTCTGTAGCCCTTTAAGGTTTACAAAGCCCTACCATCCCCATAACCCTGTAAGAGAAGCAGTGCCAGTATTATGGTCACCCTCTTATATATAAAGAAATGAAATAAATGGAATCCTAGACAAGTGAAATGACTTTTTCATGGTCACAGGACTGGGCAGTGTCAGAGTCAGAATTTGAAACCAGGCCAACTGACTGGGGGCCATGACATAAAACAAAAATGTTTAAGATTCTCAGCCCTAAGGAGATCCTTCAAACTCTGATTCTATTTTTAAGCACTTCCAGTGATATAGTCAACTGCTTACCATTGCATTCTGTATAGGTGAAATGGATTTTAAACTTTGTTTGATGGTATCACTTTTGGGGAGAGTTTGCCAGGAGCTCATGAAAGGTATGTAATCTCTTCTCTGTGTGGGGGCCTTTTTAAAGAATTGCCTAATGATTTTCTTTTTTTCTGTTTCAGGTGGCACTCTTACTTTTGTTAACCCTAGTTTAGCAGTACATAAAAGTTCGTCAGCATTAGACCGTCAACGCGAATATCTGTTAGACATGATTCCACCACGATCCATCCCTCAGTCTGCCACGTGGAAATAATGCAAAAGCAAAGCCTAAGTGGAAGATTTCCCTCTGTCTGCCATCCCTTTTTTATGCCACAGTACAGTGTGGGACCTGCTTTAGCCCAACAGCTGGATATGCCCTCTCCCCTTTTTTGAAGGAAGCAAGATGACCAGTTCTCAGCTTCACAGTGCTACTGCTGTCATGATATGAGAATAACAGCTGGGTTGTGAAAACAGAACTTTTTGATACTTTGGCTAGGAAATTCTCAAGATTGGCTGGTGGTAAAGGGCAGAAGGGGTGGAATTAACATTACTTTAACTCGGGGGGAAGGTTACGTGGGGGTTTTTTGGTTTTGTTTTTTGTCTTTAGTTTCACATCACCAGCACAAAATTGGGACTAAATGGACTTGTTCTGCCTTTGGTTTCTTTCACGTTAGTACCTTGCCAGTCACAAGAACATGTGAGATGCACTGGAGACCAAGAATGCCCTTGTGAATAGTGAAATCAGAACCCAGTGATTACAGATGCAGATATGTTTAGTGGGTTGGATTTTATTTTATTTTTTTGTCTCCCCCCCCCAACCCCTCATCCTCCCACCCATTTCTGACTGCCTCCCCTCACGGCAATCTTACAGATTGAAATATTTTTTAATCAGCTTGTAATAATGGAGTTAGTGATAAAGAAGTGCAAACTCAAGTATTCCAGTTGGGCATGATTCCTCCTGGACCGGTTTGTGCTCGGGAAGGCATCGTTAATAGGAACCCATGGCATAGATGTCTTACTTTCAGCTGGATTTGTTGGACAGACTTCATGAGAAGCCCGAAGGTCTAGCCCTGAAATTACTGAACGTTGAGCAGCCGCTGCCTCAGCCACATTCCTCCAGCAGAGAGCATGTTGCTTACTTTTAAGTTTCCAGAAACTAGGACACTTATCAAAAGAACAAAACAAGAAAAATAAAACTGAAAAATAAAACAAAACTAGAAACTCAGGAAAGCTGCATGCTATTGAAAAGAGTGAGGAGATAGATTGTGGCAAAGCCAAGAAGGTTGGTTTGGGGTGGGGGGAGGGGGGATTGGGAGGGTGGGGGGGGGGTTTATTTTGTTTGTTTTTCTTTTCCTACTGTTTGTTATTGATGGACAGAACTATGAGCTATCCTAGCGTGTGCTCTTCTCAGATGTCAGCAGCAAAAGCACCAGATGGGTGTGCTTTAGGTAGTATATAAAAGACTGCCTAGTCCTGAATTTTTTTTTTTCCTTCCTGCCCACCCATCTCCTTTGGTCCATACATACCAAGCATGTTCCTCTCATCACATCACTTCAGTGTTTCATTTTGGGTAGAGCTATAGATACCCCATCCTTAAAGTCAGGGTTGCCTACATTGTTACTTCTGGATTCTTCCTTTTAGTCAACAGAAACATTGAGAAGGATTGAGTCTATTTTTCTTATTCTCTTTCAGATTGTTCTAAAGTGGCAGAAGTTACCTAATTTTTTTTTTTTGTCTTTATTGGTGCCAGAATTAGTTCTGCTATGAATGCATCGCTATATATATTTATATATATATATATGTGTGTATATATATATATATAAATATGTGTGTGCATGTATATGAATATATGTACACACATATGCACATATATTACATATATACACGTGTATGTATAGATATACAAATGTATATATGTACACACAAACACACAAGTATGTGAGGGGATTACTGGCAGATTTCCACTAGTCTGATTTTCCCGTTGGCCACAGTTAGGTATTTAATTTAAGAACATTCTGTAGGGCATCCCTCTTGAAATCCAACTATTGCATTCTAATAAAAAGCTCATTTTAACCCCCCCTTCTGTTGTGTGAATAATATCACTGTTTAGATAACTATTTGATATATGCAGTAGAATAGAAGACCTAGTTTTGCAAAATGGGTTTTTTTGGTTGTTGTATAAAACCCTAAAATTCACATTTGACTTTTGTTTTGAGTGTATGATGAGTTAGGATGAGAGAAGTGGGGGGAGGTGGGGGGGTTGTTTTCCATTCCAAGTTAGGGTGAGGTCTAGGATTTAAGGGATGGGGAAAACACACTTTCAGGAAAACAAAGGTGCATTTTTGCATCATAATATCAAAGTATGCAAATATTTCTATTCCCTGGGGAGGTGAGGGGGGCATTGTGCCTGGCAAATAAATTTCTGTCTTATACCCTTTTTGAGATAACTAGCCATTTCTGTTTTATGATAAGAGCCAAATTGTGTGTCTAAGATAGGGGATGTTTAAAAAAAAATCCCCAGGCCTCCTGGACTCCAAATGAAGACATTATTATTGATTGTACCTTTTGGTTTTGAATTGCTGTGCCTATGTAATGAAACACCATTGTGCAGGAAGGCAAGATTAGTGTCTGTATTGGGGGAGTAAAAATTGAATTATAGGGGAAAGAGCCACCATATAGAAAAATCGTGATTGAAAGTGATAACAATACTGTTTAAAGGGCCTTCAGTGGTTCAGAGGTAAAGTATTTAATAAACCATCAGTTTAGCAATTTAAAAGAAAATACCCAGGGCAAAAAAGCTTATATTTGGGATGGGGTCCATACTTTGGTTCAGAAATGGAGTTTGCTGACTTCATTTTACTTATTCAGTATGTGTGCTGTGGTATAATTAGATCACATATACAAACTATCCGAAACTTAATACAAAGTTATTCCAACTTCAGAACCACTGAAAACTGGACAATTTGAATGTTCTTTTACCTAAGGTCCTGGAAGTTGTGCAGACCATTTGAGTAATAACAAAAACAGCTAACCTTTATATAGCACTTTAAGGTTTACAAAGTGCCTTATGTATTGTCCCATGTGAATTACTTGGGATAAAGTAAAAATACTTAAATTTATTGACTTTCATTGAGTTTATAAAATTTAGACACATTTTTTAATTCTTCATCATGAAACCACACTTCTATTACATTGGATGTTATGCATAACTTTGATGAACAGTCCATTTTCCCAAGACTTAGCCTTTAGCTTATAGGTTTTCAAGTAGAGTTTAAATTGGAAAAATTTGTAGGCCATTGTAGTACATTTACCTCCATCCCTTGTGTTCAACTTTTCGTGACATATGGCATGGTGAAGAGCCATGTTGCAATATTCCTTCTCTATTTGGGAAATTTTTAGATTCTGGAACAATTCTGCTTCTTGGAATAACAGTAGTTATCAGTATTCATCATTCCCTCAGTGAGAACGAGACTTTCAGGCTCACTGAAAGTAAAAACTAAAAATCCCCAAAACGTTTTTTGGGTAGCTGTTTTACAGTCTAGTGAAGATGTTTAAATCTTATAGGCTCTGAAACTTCTTCTGACAACAGTTTCAGCATAACCTTCAGTGAAAGAGTTCATTTCCTAAGTAAAAATTACCTTTTTCCAATCTTCAATTCTTTGGTCTTTGTCTTGCCCATGACCAGCATTTTTTCATCATGGCAGAGGCACAATAGCAGCTGAGAGTTGGGGGGTAGGGTGGTAGGGATGGTGTTTTTGTTTGTTTTACAGTGGTCATATTGTTGTTCTTCCAGCTTCATAAAGCCTGTTTCACACTGTAGAGGAATCAATAATCACCCTTTCAGCTGCCAGGGACCTTGGGAAGGTCAATGCTTGTTTTCTGAAGATTATTAGTTAGGCTGCTTCGAAGCAACATTTTGTCAGTTCTTAGCGTTGTTTTCATTTTCTACCACACCTCCCTTTACACTTCAAGGCATCTGATCCTGTTTCATTAGTGATCCTTAAAATGCTTTACTTTGCCACATTGTTGTAATATCTCTAATGATCATTGAAGTATGTCTTTAAGAGCCACAATTTTTGCATGTTTCCTTATCCATTTTTAAAAACCACAAAATTAAAAACACAAGCAGTGTAATAAGTATGTCACAAAATCTAGCAGTCAGCTAGCAAACAAATAACTATAGGTTAGAAAACCTGCTCCATCTGATTTCATTTGGTCAAGGTCAAATGTTATGTCAGCCTCATGTCAATAGAAGCACAAACCCAAGACCATTGTTTGTATCAAGTAATTTGTACCACTGTTTATGTTATCTCGTTTATACCTCCCCTAATTTGAATCATACCTATGAGATAGGTATATTTATGTCCATTTTACAAATGAGGAAACAGAGGCTTAGAGACATTAGATGGGTTGCCTGTGGTCAATCTATTAAATGTCAGAGATAGGATTTTAATTTGATCTATGACTTCAATTCCAGTGCTTGTTTGACTATGCCATACTATTTCTATATATTACAAAACATGATTTCTTACACGTTGTATTAATTGAAACATAAGGTCAGAGTTGGAGAGATGTGGGGTTGTACGTCAGTGCCTATGTACTGAATGGGACTGACTGAGAAGATGTTTAATATTTTATGATGGGCACTATGTCTTTATTATTACAAGATTCTTGCTATAGCTGCAGCAGAATCAACCCCTCTGATCCTAATTTGAGTCATTTTCAATAAAACTTTAATATGATTAAAGACAACATTTTACTTTAAGGGAAGAAGTGATACATATGTGTAGATGTGTGTATATATTAGAGATGTGTCACTATATTTTATATATATGACTCATTGTCACTATATGTACAAACACATTCTCCAGGAAAAATAAATGAAAGATTATATGTGTATTGTGTGTGTGTGTGTGTGTGTGTGTGTGTGTGTGTGTATGTGTAATCTTTCATTTTTTTCTGAAAATTTTTCCACCACTGAAATATAGTTTTCTTCTGTAGTCTCTTTGCAGTAGGGTTCCAGTCCAATTACACTGCTCACTAATAGTGTGATCTTGAGTAAAGTTACTTTTCTCTGGGGCTGTTTCCTTATCTGTAAAATGGAAGAGTTGAACTAATTGTTCTTTAAAGACTCTTCTAGATCTAAAAGTCTGACATAAAATCATCTTGTGAAAAATTTGAGTGTCCTCAGATATATAACCTGAAATTGGTTATTTTTTTTAGCAGCCACAGCAGCTCTCCAAATCCCTTTAGTCCCAGCATCACTTTTTGCTGATTAAGCCACAAACTATTAGACATATCCCCAAAACTTTTTGCTCCCCAAAAAAAGAGAGGAATGTCTTTCAAGCCATACATTCATACTTCTGGGATCCATGGTTTCATCTGTGTAGGTGCTTCCTCTATCAAAGTTAATCAAGTTCCCTGTACTTAATTGATAGTCTTTCTGAGTTACTGTGGCTGAAAAAAATTATCTAATGGCCAGTTTTTTTGGTGACATGCCTCTGAGAACATAAGCCTGTCCTTGGACAACAGGCACTCAATTCATTCATCACCAGTCACCAGTTCTATCCATGAAGCCTTCCAGCTTGCACTCCAGTTGCACAGCCTCCAAGAACCCAGGGTCACTTCCACACCACGAAGAGACATTAGACAAGGACTTCAGACATAAATAATCTCCAATTTCCTTGGTTTGGAGATTGCAGGATTTAAGTGATAATGGCAATGATTAACTCGTGTAATGGACTTATGGATGGAATGTATGAAATAAAGCCCTGACTTCAATTTGAACTGCTGTTAAAATTTGGGAGCATTGTGTATTGTGGTCTGTTTGGGGTTAAATATAATAATACCATTAGCCATGTTTGAATTTGGATCTTTGAACTAAGTAATATTAAAGTTCTGAGCAGGGTACAAAAAAACTGGCATTTTTATAATGTTGAAGCTTTTAAGGTTTTCTAGAACTGATCTTTTCTCAACTTTGTGTCAGAAGAATTTTCATAATTAATATTTCAACTCTACTAATAAGAAAAAATTGTTTTTGGCAGCTCAGTAGTTTTATACTTAAATGGGGAAGGGGAGGGTTGGCAGGTAGGAGTCATCATTTGGTCTTCATCTGACTTTTGGGAAGAAGTATGTTGTCATGGAAGGAGCCCTAGCAGAGGCAGGGGAACTGTGTGCTTCTTTATGTTGCCACCAAGTGGCTTTGTGGCTTTGTGACCTTGGACAAGTTCCTTCCTCATTCTAGAACTTGGTTTCCCCATGTGTAGATACAGAAGCTCTTCCAGCTTTGGCAT